TGACCTTTATCCCGATTGTGTCATTAGATTGATAATGGGGCCGGGGGGTGGACCTATTAGTTACGATCTAATGACACAGTGCTTATGTACACCTGGGATTATTATAGGACAAGGACGATAACAAGTTTTGGATTCCTGTTATTGCCCGGGGCTTTGAACGTACATGGGATAGCTATGATCTAAACAGTAAACGAAGCTGATCATGATTAAACGGTGCAGTGTGCGGATAGCTAACTCAGTTCATGTATAATTCCCGAGGATAGGACTGGTCACCGGTATGGTAATTGTGCAGTGATCAGCCTCGAAAATTTCCGTTTCTTTCACAGATAATGAATGAATTTTTAGGAATTTTTCACACAAACCACCCAGGCTGAAGATAGCACAGAGATTATGAAACCATGCGTCAAATACGGCCACGCGACGCGTTACCGCACGCCCACATGCAGGTGTAAAACCATCTTCTTCCACATGGGATGGCTCACAAAGTTTTCGGTGTGCGGTGAGGACTAACTTTCGATTGTTTTGACTTTTACTTATGGTTCGGGCTAGAAATCCTTTAGAAAGAGTTCGAGGGAACATTGTCTGTGTCGGCGCGTGGAAAATATGAAACTCGTATATCGACTACGACCACATATCGTAGTTGCAACTGGAATTGAATTTGCATGTGTTTACTTTTTTATTACAGTTCGATTGGATACAAATGATACAATTCTTGTACAGCATACCAAATAATATCAGTCGGACCCCGGGTTATGATCTTTCCCCGATCATTTTGTTTCCCCGATGCTCCACGGCATTTGGCGGCTGGGGTCGGAGTACGGAGTAAACCGGTGTGATCGCCAACGATCTTGGCTGTACAAAGTACAGAACGAGAAGCGAGAGCTCGGTTAAACATAATAAAAATACTTCATCGCACGTTCTAAGATCCATTCTTCGGATCCGGATGGTGGGGCCGTTAAACGATCTATCGACCTAGTTCTCTTGTCGATGAAGTATGGATGTTCAAAAATAACAATTTACAAACGTGAGAAGAACGGATGGAAACGAGTCAGAGATCGGAGAGACCGATGCAACACATTCGAATTGTGCGTTCTTTTTGGAACGGTTATCATTTCCTCTTCTCGGCGCCATCCCGCTTGGCCCGGGGGCCATATCCATCTTAGGGTCCGGAGTGCGGAGAATGTTTTTATTTTTTTCACGTTTGTTCTTATTGGTATGGGCTGGGCCTGTGAAGTTTGAAATGAATCGGAGTACCGAGTAATACAGTAATTTAAAAAAAAAAATTAATTATAGCCTCTTCAAGGAAGCCGTTGACAGTCCTGGGGCAGATCATTGCAGACTAAGCAGACTAAGCAGGGTGGTCAATATCCGCATAGACGAAAGACCAGGGTGCGGCAACTTTAATTTGGGGGCTTCTTAATGTCAGAAATAAATTTTGGTTAAATGAACGAAAATCCATCAGCTCACTTCGGCGGGCCAAGACCATCAAGACTTCAACTTGATTCCCCGACCCGCGATCTACTAGATTGTGGCTTATAGCCCCTCAATTGCCCCGTGTCTACTGGCATTCCCATACTCGGGACCGAGCGTCCATATTGACCGGACATATCGGTATCGACATCTTGCCGAGCTCCGATGAATATGTATCTCCCCGGCGTTCAGAGTGGCTTGATCAGACAATTTCTCGCATTGAGCTAGTTTTGGAGGTGAAGGAAAGAGAGACAGCTCGCTTGCGTTACTGATAGCTGCAAGAAGCAAGGGTTACCTCCCTAGGCCAACGTGGACGTCGGTGCTTCACACTTGGTTTACATGATCATTCTTCTGTCGATCACGAAACAAAGAATCGAGCAACTGACTAAAAGATCACGGAGGACTCGTCCCGGGTGTTTCTGCTTCGGGGTTCCAAACCCGGGCGAAATACAACCGGTACGGAGGACATGCTCTATCTACTTCTAGTCGCTTGGACGTTGGCGCTAGATGGCCGCGTTTGAACTTTGATATGTGGCTCGAGGTCATTGCACTTAGTTCAAGCCCCCGACAAAGTGACTGCATGGCCTTCTCTTGCTTGATCGGGTTTAGGGTTTAGTCTCCCGCATAAGCGATGAAAAGCCCAAATTCAAACGGTGTTACCTTTCTCGCACAGGCCACTTAGGATCTTTGTTTGAACATGACGCACACCTGGATCGACAAGAGATCGAGACCGACGGGAGACCGGCACAAAAGGAAATTTAGTTAAGCGAAGTGGCCGGCAAATAGCCCAAAGACTTGATGCTCTGGGCTCAAGTCCCCAGTCGATCCGGGGCGGTAGTGGCACAATTTAAAGCAAAAAAGGGGGCCAGGATTGTCGGTGATCCGCCCAGGGGTCTCCCTCTGGTTCGTCCCCGAGGGCGTCCCCGGTTAGCTCCAGCCATTTTGCAGCGACACTGTGTAACAATCCAGGACTTGACTCTCAGCATTGGTTGGGATTAGGATATGAGAGATTATCAAAAAAAAAGGACAGGTGTTTGACAGATCTAACATGCCATATCGGAGTCCGCATGGACCCTGTGGGTCACGCTATCATACTTTTTTTTTTTCCATGAAGCTTGGAGACTACAAAGAGACTACAAATTATGTGGGACTGCGGGTACGGCTTAACGTGACGGAAGACCGCGGGATCATCGATCATGGACTTACACCAATGGTAGTCCTCCGTGGAAATGGCAGCAAGAAAGAAAGAAACAAAAAAAAGGGGGGGGGAACAACCGTGCACTTTGGTTTTAGCTCCAACCTTCAGGGCTGAGTCTTGAGTTGGGTGCCTCGAACACTCGCATCCCCCATATTTGATGATCCATTGGGCAGAAAGTCATTGGTCCATTCTAACCCTACCTTTTCCGTGTCTTTGATGTGTAGCTGAATGGACGATCTAGGGACTAGCCTGCTTCTGGAAGTACTCCCAAAAGAGTGCAGTTTATATATATATATATATTTGTTTTGTTTGATTTTTTGTGCATGGTCTAAACCTCCGAAGTTGGACTCCTGTACGCCCGAAATTTCGCCTTCATGCAAAGTCACTGCGCAACAATCGACATGCTTTCCCATTCTTGTTGACCAAGTTACAGAGATTTTTGTAGATTTTACATATGAGAGAGCCTCAACCGATTACCCACAGCTATACGAGAACACAACCTTGGAAGGTAATAAAACCTCTATATCAAACTTACTGTTCTATGGACGGTTATTACCTCCGTGCCGGGATGTCTCCACCCCCAAAGAAGGGTGCGACAAGGGTAACCGAGTATATAAAAATTAATTAAATTCCAGGCAGAAACGGGTGTTTAGCCAATTTAGCCTGCCATTTCACACAGGGGCAAAATGCTTGTAAAAGGATTCAAGTGTTATGCATCGGCTGGTGTCAGAAGCCGGAGAATGAGAGGGGAGGTTGGGGCTTGCATCTCTCTTTTCTTTTTCTTTTCCCTTCTCTTTCTATCGAACCACAGTGGATGAAAGATGATGCCAAGATTGACTAAGATGCCACTAAAATAGTTCCGGGATAGAGCGAACCCGGGTGGAAGGCCCGCATCCTTGAGTGAATCTCAAGTCGATTGGCTATTATTACGGAATCCTCTTCTAGCGTTAGCGTCCAAGAGGGGGACTCGATCGTGCGTAGGGTATTATACGCATGTATCGGGGTCTTTTTTTTTTCCCCTCCAAGGTGTCAAGCATCTATGCAACATATGGAGTACTGGTTCGCGGGATCGACCTGGGACAGAGTTACACGGGTCCCACGAACGCAGACCGGTCAAAGAATGATGGGCGCCGTTAGGCTGTTTCGAGTTTATTCTGGATTTCCTAGACAATTGGGCCGTGGAAAGAAGATCGGTGTAACTTACCTATCAAAAGGAAATTCCTCTTTTTATTCCATTTCCTCCTTTCAAGTATTATTCCGCCGATCTTCGATATACTCCGACGAGAAATTCTCAGCCCAAGCCGTACCTGAAACTGACCTGTGCACGATCCGAGGACAACGTCAACTAGCTCTCTTTTTAAAGCCTCGAGTCCCGAGGTCCACACGCCAATCGTCATGAGCCAAGTATTCTAGACTTTGTGGATCATTGGTTATTCGATCTTTAACATCATGAGCAACCGGATTTCCCGTAATCCGTACAGTGTAAAAGTACAATATAGTCGATTTTCTATACAGGTGTGAGGGCTTTTCCCTCCCCCCTTTCTTTATATTTCCCATGGAGCATTGACATTGAACTACGCAATCACGATGCTTGAAAATCCTCGTTATTTTCTTTTACACTTTCATACAAACGTATCACGATCACTCCACCGGATCCGAGAAGACCACGCCGTTGCAAATCCCATTCTCTCTCCACTGGATATGCCGTAGCACATCCCCACCACTCTTTGTCTGCACATCATCCCCAAGCGTTTCCTCTCGGCTAGATGACACATTTAATTTTCAAGCTCGGATGTTTACCGGACTCGAGTTAATCTCCTGCGTCCATCCTGGCCATTATTACACCACTTTCCCGCTAGTTACAAGATCCTGATACACTTTGTAGGCTTTTATTATTTATTCCATATTGGGCTTTTTGTTTTTTTTTTGTTTTTTCAGATTTATATTTTTCTTTTTTTTTGGCTTTTTTCTTTCTCTCTTTTATTCTTTATGTATTATTCTCGATATTTTCTCTTTTAAGAACTTACTCTAGCTCGAGGGTTGCCTCCGAAATAAAATAAGAATGAAGGGTGCAGCTAAATAAACGACCCTGGACCCTCCACTTGCCTTCACATTGACACGGCCCCCTGAACCCCAGTCACATAGTGTGTCGCGCAGCTACTCTTTAGCCTCAGTTCGGGATCGCCCTCGTGGTTTCACCTTACCTTTTTTTTTTTTTTTTTTACCTTCTCTTTCTCCCAAAAGCAACCCCATCCCAGTCCCTTTCTTTCTCAATTTTGTACTCTTTCCAAGTTCTGCAAGATTCTGTCTTGGGCCGTGAGAAAGGTCGTTCATGACCGGCATGGTACAGCCCGACCTTGGTCCTCCAGCGACGAAGTACAAGGAAGATTCTATTGATGATCCCGTGAGTATCATTTCACATTGCGTACCTTATCTTTTTTTTCTTTTCCTTTCGAGTTCCCGTCTACCTTATAGAGATGTTTCCTACTTCAATATCATTCCTATCTTTCTTGGTTTCAATATGTGGTTACCGGGGAGCTCTATGTCCAGTGGAGCCTCTTCTCGACACTTGATCTATCACGCCTTTGGATTCCCTCTTTCGACTCTTCAACCAACTGGTGCCGGATGAGCAGAGTCAATATCCCAGAAGACGGGCAACTCATGCTGAGTGAACCCAACGATTTGGCGGGTGACTTTTGGAGCTCAATCCAATTTGTATGCATCGCTTCCGGACCCACCATAGCCCTGCTCCGACTTAAGAGCCTCACTTCGGCCATACAAGGAAAACGGGTTCAATTGAGAGCAGAAACCAATGCCTAAAGTCCGTGTAGCGGCAAGGGACTGCCATCTACATCCAGCTTTGGAGTGCTTTGTCCTTTCGGAAGAAAAACAAAACAAAAACCCCCATTCGCGATATCAAGGACACACCAACGCTACACAGATCCATGCTATTCTTTAGTCCTGGACGGACCATCCCGGTTATACCCTGACCCATTCGTTGCGCACCCTAAGGCAATCCCTGTTCGAGGATTACCATCTATGGCCCAATCCAACTCCCCACCTCTATGATGAGATTCTGCATACCTGCAAGATTGAAATTCCCACACTAGGCCGGAGAGGTCATACGCCGATGTCACTCCGGACACCTACTGGCTGTGTTTACAAATTCCTTTTCTTTATTTCCTATGTCCACGTTCTCGGCTTGTAGCACCGTGAATTTTCTGACTCGAAACCTGTTTATCGTATCTTTCTGGCAATCTTTCGGGGCTGGCCATCCAAGTCCGAGTCACTGATGTGTGTTTTTGTTACAGCTTCGACACGGCAACTCTGGTCGTCCCGGTCCTCAACACTCTCAGGCAATACAGCCTCGATCAAATCTAGCACAGAAGCAAGGCCCTGCCTCACCTGTTCAGCCCTCTCTTTCTATTACTCCTACCACCTACCCTCCATCCCACCCATTAGGAAACGGAGCCCTGCACCATCATAATCCCTACGGACCGCCACCTCAGGAATCACCCTACTACACCACCCATTCTTCATATACAACGACCTCAGCGTCGACACAGTACCCCTCTAGTGGTAAGCCGGATTCCTTCGTTTAAGCAGTTGGTGTGAAGTCATTGGCATTGAGAAGTGACGCACTAGTGCTTGGGTTTCTTGATGCTTTTGGCCATTTCATTCTTATCGAAGACATCAACTAACCCTCAAGGATTAGGGCCACCTGACCTCATGGCATCTACCGCTCAAATGCAGAGACCTTATCCGTCTATTTACCACACTCCCCAATCAAGCTCACCAGCCTCGGTAGCTTCTCAACCGCATGAACAACATGGCCGCAACATGTACTCCCAGTCACCACAGATGCCACCGCAGATGTTTGGCTACCCTCCATACTCGCCCATGAACCCGGTTCAACCCTCGCCATATGGGGCCCACCATTCTTCCCAGCAGCATCCTCTCACATCACAGCCATTGATGATGCCCCCTCAGAAAGCCCCATCCCAGGTGCCACCACACCAATCACCCCACCTCCCTACGTCTGGCATGTCTAGCAGTCCCATCATGAAACTCGATTCCTCCCAGCACCCCACCACTCCACAGCAAACAATGCTGAACCCCCCTCTCGCGGCAACTACCAGCCACACAATGTCTACCAACAACCCCCATGCAAGCCCACCACTAGGGGGCACCACCTCTAGCGCGGCACCAGGGCCCATCCCAGCCACTACCCCGCTAGTCGTGCGACAAGACAGTAACGGCGTGCAGTGGATCGCCTTTGAATATTCCCGAGATCGGGTGAAAATGGAGTACACTATCCGATGTGACGTGGAATCCGTCATCGTGGACACACTCACGCAAGAATTCAAAACGGAGAACTGCGTGTACCCGCGGGCCTGTTGCAGTAAGGACCAATATCGCGGGAACAGGCTGGTTTACGAAACAGAATGCAATGCCGTCGGCTGGGCACTTGCTGAGTTGAATCCTGCTCTGAGGGGCAAGCGTGGATTGATCCAGCGTGCCGTCGATAGTTGGCGCAACAGCAATCAGGACCCGAGATTGCGCAGCAGACGTGTCCGTCGTATGGCTAAGATTAACCGAAGACAGTCGGTCCCCGCTCGGTCTTCCCATATGGCGCAGCAAGGCCCTGTTGGCCCAGGTGGTCCACCTGGTCCAGGCATGAGTGCTATGCCAGCTCCTGTTCCCCGCCCAAATTTAGGTCCCATGTCGATGGGCCCACCGCAGATGCATCATCATCATCAACCTGATGGTAGTCCTAATGAGGAAGTTAGCGGTATGTTTCACCACATGTGATGTGCTTTGTGCTTTCCGTCAAAGTTTTCCTTTTTTCCTTTTTTTTTTCTTTTCTTTTGCAAAGAGCGGCGGGATCACTCATGGATTTTCTCCTTGGGTCTTTTTTTTTTTTTTTGTTGGATCGGATCTATGTCTTGTGTGTATGTGTATATGTGGGACTTTTGTATTTTGCCCAGTCCGGTCTGTCTGTGTATGTGTGTATGAGGATGTGTCAATGGTTGTATGAGATGTGTATTCTCTTGTATCCCTACCTGGTCCTGTTCTTATCTTCTGTTCTATTTCATACCCTGTTCGACTTCACTGTTTTGTCGCCCTTTTACCATTTCATACCGCGCTTTTTGTGCTTTGACGCTTCTTTCTTTGGAACCGAACCTCCTTTCCCCGACATGTCGAACATGCAGTTGTACAGCGTAGGCTAATTCTTGCGCCCCTACCTATAGGCACAGACTACCCGGGTCACCGGACTATGGACGCACGCCTCCCTCAACCCTCAATCCCTGATCTCCGCCCCGCCCACATCTTCCATGACGCGCCAACAACCCTAACCCCAGGCGGCAGCGCCAGCGGTCCCTCTATGCCCCCCCCTCCTTCGCGACAACAGTCTCACCTCACTAAGCCGCCACACAATCGCAACCTCCGCCCGCATGGACTCCACTGACCACGAGATCGAAGAACAAGGTCCAACAAACGACGACCTCTTCAGTCATCTCCCGGCCGGCAAACGCCGCAAATTCATCCTAGTTGACGACCCACAGCGTGGATGTCGCGTCCGCGTCAAGGTCGTCCTCGACAAGGTGAATATGGACGAGATCCCAGACTCCTACCGCGAGTCAAATTCCGTCTATCCGCGTACCTACTTCCCCATCCAGATGCGCGACGAGAACCGTGTTGTCCCCGCTAAGCGCTTCTTCCGTGATGACACCGAGCAGGCGGACGATCCGGAAGCATCGACTATCGGCCGCACGACTGTGCCTGCGCCGTCACTCGACGCTGACACTGAAATCGACGTGCCGAAGATCTCCCGCAGAAAACATCACAAGGAGTTGATGCTTAATGACCTCGGCTACCGTATGAGCTGGAGCCAGAGCCGCGTGTTTGCGGGACGGATGTTATTTTTACAGCGTTCTTGTAAGTGTTTCTTGCTTTTCTACTATTTAATCCACTTTTGTGGTTGATCTACGCTGTTCTCCCGAACTCATCAACACGTGCCCATGGATGATCTGACTGTGGCTGAGACATAACAAGAGACCCCGCTAACCGTTTTCAAATAGTGGATGCCTATCGCGATAAAATGCGAAGCAGTATGCTCTCTGCGGGCCAGGATGCAGATGATATCCCCGATCATTTTGATACTCGTCGTGGCAAGCGACGCTTTCTAGAGCGCGGGCGTCGTCTAGACTCTGGTTCTGAGAATGCTGCGCAGCGGAGTGCGGAGGAGGTTGAAGGTTGAATTCAGGCTGAGGCTAGATTCTTTTCTGGTATTTAATTTTCTTTTTAGTTTTTGTGGGGGGTTTTATATCGTTTGCGGTTGAGGTATGCAAGGGCGTTTGACGGTTTGCGGAAGAAAAACAAAAATTCTAAAAATAGGAGGAAATTGGAGGATATGGAGGATATGGAGGATATGGAGGATATGGAGGATATGGAGGATATGGAGGATATGATTGGACATGATTGGATATGATTGGATATGATTTAGGATAAGGAGATGATACCACGACTTTTTTAACGTTGAATGAGATGTATAGCAATCTTGACAGTTGACAGTTGACCACATGGCCAGATAAAAATAGCAAGGGTGGGCCATGGACCCTGGAAGCCCTGGAAAAAGGGTGGAATGTTGACCACGTTCACGGTATCCTGGAGTTGCTTGAATTCGGTTTAGCGCTGGTTTATTAGCCCCGTTGTCCCGGCCACGCCATATTTACCCGTAATTGAATGTACTTGTGCCAGGATTCGAATCCAATTTTCTTTGTCTCAGTTTTGACTGCATTCAGTTTGAATTGGGCCTTGGCACTTTCCCTGCATTTTTCTCCGTTCGCGGGTACTCTTTCAACTTTTATTATTCAAAAGTCCGGTCCACTTGGCACCGGACACCTGAAACTCTCAAATGTCAAATGACATAGAAATGGATGTCTCACACCCAGCCTATCGTTACACCCACGGAACTCGCGAGAATCAAACCATTACACCAGGCGTCGATAACCTTGGCCCCAGCTCACCGGGCGGCGGAATTAGCGGAATCGCTCTAGGAATCGCAAATACACACAGTCGCCAGAGCGGCATCGACGCATCTCGAGGCATAAACGACGGATACACCGGCCCGGCCGAGCGCGATTATAACACAACCGGCTCAGACACACCCTACGTGCCCTCAGCAGGGTATACCAGCTATACCAGCGCCGACTCCTTTCGTCCCGAACACGCTCACGCTTTGAATATGGCGAGGGGCGGCCCGGTTGCCTCGCCAGCCATGCAGACTCCCAGTCAATCGTCGGTACATCTGAGTGATCCTGCGCACAGCACATACCAATACCCCGCGCCGTATTCGGGTCTCACTGATGGGCCGTACCAGCGACACTCCACGGCATACAGTAATGGTGAGATGTCGAATATTAATCCCGACGACATCGCCGACGATGGAGATGAGGACTTTGGTCCTCCACGCAATCGAGCGACACCTGCTGCAGCTGGCGCAGCTGCTGGCGCAGCTGGCGGTGGTCTTCTAAAAGGATTCCTTGGTCGCGAGAAGAACGTTGATGTCGCGTATAACTCGGTTCCCGGCGGTGGGTTGGAGGGTGGCGGTAAGGGGGCGTCGGGGAGATCTGCAGGTAATGGAACCGAGGGGCGCAAGAAGATGGGCTGGATTGTCGGTCTTGTTCTTGCGTTTGTAATTGTGGGTGCGATCGTCGGTGGTGCGGTGGGTGGTACGATTGGAAGCCGGCATAAGGAGGACAAGTCCAAGACTGCCGAAGAAGGAACTGCTACGGGTGATGCGAAGACCAATGGCGACCTCGACAAAGATTCCTCCGAGATCAAGGCCCTGATGGGCAACAAGGATCTCCACAAGGTCTTCCCTGGAATGGACTACACGCCGTGGGGCGTGCAATACCCCGACTGTGTGAAGTGGCCTCCGTCGCAGAATAACGTCACTCGTGACATGGCTGTTCTGTCTCAGTTGACCAACACAGTGCGTCTTTACGGTACCGACTGCAATCAGACTGAGATGGTTCTTCATGCGATCGATCGTCTCGAGCTGAAGGATATCAAACTTTGGCTCGGCGTATGGATTGACACCAACACCACCACTACCGAACGACAGATCAAGCACCTCTACAAACTCCTGGATGACTCCAAGGACACATCCATCTACAAGGGTGTCATTGTTGGCAACGAAGCCCTCTTCCGCGCCGGCAAAGACAAGGCGACTGCCCAGACAACCCTAATCTCGTACATCAAAGATGTCACGAAAGAGGTCAAGAAGCGCAACCTGGATGACCTATTGATTGCCACCTCGGACCTCGGTGATAACTGGAATTCGGAGCTAGTGGACGAAGTGGATGTCGTCATGTCCAACGTCCATCCCTTCTTCGCCGGTGTCAATGTCACCGACGCTGCTGCCTGGACATGGAATTTCTGGGATACCCATGACGTCTCCTTGACTGAGGGCACGAACAAGAAGCAGATCATCTCAGAAGTCGGATGGCCTAGTGGAGGTGGCAAGGACTGCGGTGATAGCGAGGTCTGCGACGACGACACGCCTGGTTCTGTCGCCAGTATCGACAACCTGAACCTTTTCATGGCTGACTGGATTTGTCCGGCGTTGGAAAATGGAACGGATTATTTCTGGTATGTCATTTATCCATCAACCGCCTCGATCTATTCAGATTACTAACAGTTTACAGGTTCGAGGCTTTCGACGAACCATGGAAAATCCAGTTCAACACGCCTGGGAAAGAGGAATGGGAGGACAAATGGGGTCTGATGGATGCCGGACGCAAACTCAAGAAGGGTCTCAAGATCCCAGATTGCGGTGGCAAGACTGCCTCTTGATATGCTGTCAGATACGGCCGTGGCTCTTTTATGGGATCATGATCATGAAATTTTCTTTTATGTGCATAAGTATCGTGTTAGTCTTTATTGCTTTCTCTGCACTGGCGTTTGTCATTCTGATACCGGAACCCCTGAAGGTTTTACTCATCTTCATACCTTTCCTCGGGTTTATTTAAGTTTCTTCCATTTCATTCAATATCTGGGGGTTCCTTGCCTGGCGGTCTATCATCTTCCATGTCCTTTTTTACTTGCAGTCTCTATCCATTGCTGCCAGTTTTCGGGCTAGGCTTGATTATACCTTGTATATCTTTGGTTTCATTCCTTTAGCTATATTTACGAGGGTCTTCAATACTTGTTTTTGCGGTGGAAATTTGTCTCATGGGATATTCACAGGGATCGTTTTTGTGTTTTGCCTTCCATAGCTATACTACCTATGCTCGGCCTCCATGTATATAATAGGTCAACTTATCAAGTTTTGGAATACGTATAAGCATTGTAATATTCACTTCTTTCATTACTATGTATAATTTGGTTACCCTCAAACAAGTCCTTCAATGTTATAGTACAACACATAAGAACAAAACAGCAATGGAAGTGGGAGCCGAGGAAAGAAAAAGGAAGAGCGAAATTGGGAGGGGGAAGATATTTATATTTTTTCAGTGGCTGAAGGCAATGGGGGAAGGTGACAAAGTTCCCAAATAGGAAGGCACCTGTGATTGGGAACTTGGAAGGTCTATGAAAACATCATGATATTTGACTCGATCTCAAGCATTATACCAACTCCAATCCCATGCATACCTAGTCTATGATCTATTACCCCATGCATCTCTAATAAACCAAACCCCAAAATCCCACAAGCTTTTATATAGATATCACTCCTCGCCCACGACCTCCTCGGTCCAATAGAGCCTCATATTCCAAAAAGCATGCTCAAGTGCTTCGAACACCGGCAAGCGATACGACCCCGCGCCATCCACATAGCCTTGCAGTACACCACCAGCGTCCGCATGCTCAAGCGGACCACCGAACAACAGCCACGGCTTCGACGGCAACAACAACTCAAGGTGTTTGCGTTCTGCGCCGGGGCAGAAGAGCATTGTGTTTGTCGTGATGTGCGAGAAGGCCTCTGGGTGCTTGATGACAGTTATATTCAGGGCTGCGAGCAGGGATTCGTCTAGTGTGTTGAACACAGGGTCTTGGGCGTAGACTTTGAGGTTGGAGGAAGTTGTGGCTATGATGCAGGTGTGTGATTAGCGTGGGATAAGATATAATGGGTATGCGATAGCGATGGTCGAAATAAAGAAGACCATAAGTCGATCCAAGACATGGCCGAAAAGAATATATCCAAAAACGAAACCAAACGAAAACTAAATCCAAAAAGATCGGGAAACGAACAAGCAACTTGATCCTTAATAGTCGCCAGCGCGGCAAGCTGATAAAGAGACACAGCGCGTCGATCAACCCATCCATCACGCAAGAACCCACTCGGGCTCCCAAGCCCAATACAGACAATAGCGTCGACAAGGCAGGGGGCCGAAGGATTACCCTCCGTCAATTGGGTTGAAGCGGCAGAAGCAGCATCAGAAGAAGTTTGTTCCTGCGCCTTCCTCAGCCGTTCATCCAAAGCGCCCGCCAACCTAGTGCAGCTCTCCGAGCTCTCCCACCTCTCACGATGAGTCTGGAACTGCGCCTGCAGCTCGGAGAGCGTGAGTCGACCCGGTGCCTCTGCAGGGGTCAATGTGGGTTCGGGCTGGTCAGAGGATATCCCTTCAGGTTCCTTTGCAGTTGTATCTCTCGGGCGTGTGCGCATTACACGCCGCACGTTGCCGCCGCTCGCGACATGGGTCCAGCCGTCGTCGTCGGTCACTTGGATTCGTTTTTGGGTTTGTCGTTTTGGGCGAGAGGTGTGGGATGTGTGGGGCATATTTTATATATGTATAATTATGATAGTATATAAAGAATTATTGTAGGTCTTGGATTTATATTGGTGAAGCTTTTTTTTTTTTTGGAGATGCGGGGGAAATGCTTGGCGGGAGTCTAATGGGCTTAGGTAAGGGGAGAGGAAACGGATTAACTATACACATAACACTCCAAGGTGATATACAACATAGTGATACATATTTGAGCGGACTAGTGTGCAATGGTTTGCAGGAAAAAAGTTCATTGATCAGGTTCTGTAAGCGCCCAAGTTCTTTCCAACGTTTTTAGTGTCCCCCCTCGGCGCTTCCACCGCTGGTCGCTCAGCAAATCATCATGCAGTATCACCCCTTTAGGTGATAGCACTTGCAGCGGGCTGTGATGATCCTAGCCCACCCCTGCTTTTCATCACGATTCGGAGCCAGTCACAGATGCCTCACCCTGCAGTCTCGGTCACATCTGCCTTCCTGGGTTCTGACTCGTCCGCCCCCAGGGAATGGCCGGTACCCCTCAAAAGGACCATGGAGCCCTCGAAAATCATGGCTTAGTCTTGGTCTTGGAGCTTCTCTGATTTTGGTGCCAATTTTGCCATTAACAGTGCTCAGCCTCTCCTACCGGCTTCGCTTATCCTGCGATCGGAGAAATTGAGCCGGAGTTTGGCTCAGCGACAGGAATAGCATTTTCCTATTCAGCTCTTGAAAATTGTCATCGTCGCATCTCACCATGAGCTTCACACAATCTATATCACGATGGGCTTCTGTCCTACTTCTGCTATGCTTGGGGCTGGCGCACGCTCACACCGTCATCACTTACCCCGGTTATCGAGGAAACAACCTCCACACCAACGGCACCATTGCACAAGCTGATGGTCTTGGTGTTGCCTACGATGCGAAAAATGGCTCATTAATCTACCCATACGGAATGCAGTGGATTTATCCTTGTAAGAACTATGTGCTCGTCTTTGGATATCAATCACTGACTCAAATCCTTTTTTTTTTTATAGGTGGTGGCATGGGCAGATCGACCAACCGAACCAAGTGGCCCGTTAGCGGTGGTGCTCTCGCCTTCCAGCCGGGCTGGTTCCCTGGCCACGGCACTGCCCTGATCTATGTCAATCTCGGCTTCGGCGAAGTCCCCGAAAACATGAGCCACCCAGTCGTCCCGCCGTTCCAGCTCGTCGGCCCCACCAACAACCCTTACCCCGGTACCGTGTGTCTCCCACAGGTGCCTCTGCCGCCCAATGTGACCGTCAGCCCGGGCGACTATGCCACAATTCAGGTGGTCGAAGTCGCCAAGCACGGCGCTTCGCTATACAATGTATGTTCCGGCCCTCTTATTTCCGACCTGGCAATCAAGATACTGACTTGTCTCTAGTGCGTGGATATTGAGTTCGCAGAAGATGGCGATGGATCTGTGGAGGCAGTCACTCGCGATAATTGCTTCAATTCGTCATCCCTCAAATTCGAGTACATGTACACCACCAGCTCCATTGGTTCGGGTGCGGCCATGCTACAGCCGAGACTGTCGGCTGCGGCTGTCGTTCCGCTGTTGCTGGCTGTCGCACTCGGCGTGTACATGTAGATATATGTCGTGCTTTCTTGATTGCATTTGCGCGCGCCTTGCTTTTGTCTTTCCTTTGCGCCATACCCCTGGTTTTCATTAATTGGTGACGCTTCAAAATCAGTGCTGATGATACTGCATGTCAATGTCCTTCTGAAATGGACTATAATTGACGTTTTGGGTTTTTCTGGCGTTGACTAGTGTTTGGGTTTTATTTCTATAGTGCTACTGAACGAATATACCAGTCCAATTTGTTGACGGTCTTGTTGAGTAAATTTCAGCCTCGGCAGGCCCCCATTGTTTTGGGGTTCTACTCGTGTATCATGCAACTTCCAACACCATTGGACCGATGGATGTGTCTTATTGCTCAGCCATATGGCGATATCGCAATCCCAAGTTTGTATCAGATGGTATTTTGCACCGGTGCCAATTCCGATTCCTTTTAGGATTCGGAGATTACCCGACCTGAGCTCATCACCCATGGACTCTCGCGAAATTCACTCAAACAATGGTATACTCATCGAAAACAACCCACTTGAAGCACCACTCACCTCGACCAAAATCAAGTTTGTTGATTCATCCCATCTAAGCTCGGTTTTCTTTGACTTCAGCATCTCGAAATATTGAAGATGGGTGCGCTCGTGCGTTTGTCTGGGGAGCAATTCCTAGAGGAGCTTGACCTCGAAATGTCCGGAGATATCGCCTCACTTCAAAGATACCGATTGGATGTCTGGCTTAAGCTATATCACAAGTCAAATCCTGCTGATATGAGGGCGCCGTTACAGACGGAACTCGAACTCCGAGAGAATACTCAACGCGAAATAGCCCTGGGAGAGGATATACAGGAACTACTCGAGATACCTACTACTCATGATATATCAACTCGCATTCTGCGGTTACAAAGTGAGAATTCGGATCTTTCAAAACAACATTGGATGTTGGAGCGGGAATGGTGGAAGATTAGACGTTCGTTTGTTGATGGGTCTTTGACTCGAGGAATCGATTTTTGGCGCTCATATCCGAGGTGGTATATGCATAGTGTGGTTTTCGTAGATTGTGCTGAAGGGGAGGATGCTGTGCACGCGACTGCGGATGCTGTTCTAATCGCACTGGACGAAACCTTTCGATTGGTCATTGCACAGTGGAATGTTCATGTTTTGAGAAGGCTCGGGGTTTCAAGCTAGACCCTAAACAAAAGGCTCAAATTCAGGAGGCTTTCAAGCTTGGTGGGAGTTCTGACCATCGAATCAGGAACGCCGCCTTACTTGGGCTGGTGAGTGGTAGCTGGGAGCACCCGTTGGATCATGTTCAACAAGATCAGGAGCCATGATATGGGCCATGAGATTGACTGGGACATCAAAAGAGATTTGTATTAGATACAGCTACAAAGACAGTTGACGGGACATCAAGAAAGAGGCTAATATGCCCTACAATCAATAATCTATACCATTTCAAATATCAGATTGTATATAGTCATTTGTATGAGTTATAAGGCGACTGTCCCCCAGAGACCCGAGGCATTGTATGGTTTTACAAAATGACATAGCAGAGAGCGAGAGAGAAAACTGGGAGAAGTTCTTTCGTCAAATGTCACTCGTCTTCAACATGGCACCTGCCCTTCTTGTACATGGTCGTCGTTCAGGCCTGTATCATCTCTCCTTAATGGATGGTATTCCCGTAATGACAAATTTCTCATATCCTGGAAGTTGAATCTGTGACATGTGTTTTCCCATGCAAAAGAACTATTCTGGTGGCGTTTGTTGACTGTCCCGACCTTCCCGGTTAGGACCGACGCATATCCTAACTTTCTTAATTTGGAGTATATTATGTGTTCTATGATTGATTATTTATTCTTCACCTCGAAGGGGTTTACTCATTTATTCTATGAAAAAATATAACCCCATAGCCAATCAGTCTGTTCACAATAGGTTTCAGGAGCAAAAAAAGCGACCACTATGAGATTCGAACTCACAATCTCCCGATAACACTATTAAATAGGAGTCGGATGCCCTAACCATTAGGCCAAGCGGCCTTATTTCATGTGGATCCATATTATTTAATTATATTGTCAAATGGTAGGTCACGAGTGTGTTTAACATATAATGTACTGAAACTTATTCCCTACGTTGCCCATCACCTATCTACTTTTTAGTAACTCACGCGCAATTACCTTTGAGTGGGGGACTATATCTGGCAACTAATTCGCTATAAATGCTATTATATATATGTACACGGTAATATGATGAGCTGGAGGTAGAAACTGTTCGTTTTTGACACTCTTTCAAGCGTACCATCCACCGGCACTGATATGGGCGTCGTGCTTTCCACCCTTCGTCTCACGGTAGCCGTGCGTGCAGCATCAGACCCCTCTCTTGCTCTCATCCTGAACTATTTTGCTGTTTTGGTGCTAGGCGTGCGGAAAGTACAGTAAGAATTGGCCGCAGGGTGTTTGGCTTATATGCGTCTAGTAATCAGGCAGGTAACGTATTCGGTAAGCGAGCTGGCCATGTAAGCCAGCTGGCCACCTCACCCAACCCATTAAATTCAACTATATTTATCTCAACCAAAACACCATTAAATTAATTCAATTAAATTGATTTATCTATCTGGACATGTTTCTCTTCTATGCCCCGGTAGTCTACATATTCCACACGCTCGCCCGGCCCGTGTAGCTGGCCGTAAACCCTCTGAAACCTGCTCACGATAGGCATTAATACGCGCTACTTGGGCCTCAAATGGCTCTGAACGTAGCTCACGAACTTCCTGGACTATAAGATCTCCTTCGTGATCTATCTGCCTTGAAGATCGGGTCCGCTTTTGCTTCTTCTTCTCGTTTTCGGCACGTAATTCCTTATTTTCTTTAGCGAGTAAGATAGCGCCTTGCATTGTAAGACGGAAGCCTTTCACAAGTTGGTTTAATGCACGACCTGACGGGCTAGGCGGACTTCGAGATCTTGTACGAAGTAAAGCTTTGATTGACGAAGCCTGTCGACGTAGTTCTTTCTCTGTAGCTGGTGTTTTTGGTGTAAAATTCCGGCTTGATTCACTCCCCCGGCTTGGAGGGGGGTCGGTGTTCGAAGACGAATATTTAGCTTCGAGATCACTTGATTAGGTGCAAAAGGTACTAAACCAGCTGCTCTGAAGCTATTTTTAATAGTCTCCGATTTAAAAGCTTCAGTTCGTGCGAGGGGGTATGCTTCGAGGAAGTCAAGTTTATCGATATGGTTGATTCCATTTCTCATTTTTATCTCAACCAGCCGACCGTATGATCGTTTTAACACCGCAAAACAACCGATATCGAGAGGCTGTAAAAGGTGAGAGGAGTGAGGAGGCATACAGATCGGTATCACCTTATTTTGCTCACAAATCTCATCGAATTTCGGGGTTAAATGGCTTCCATGTCCGTCGAGTATTAAAAGTCGATACCCCCCCTTCGTACGCGAAGAAGTCGTCGGAATAAAGAGCTTTTCGAGCCAGCGAACTCCAATTTCATCAGAGGTCCAACCGTTCGGACTAACTTCAAATCGCCAGTCATCCGGAAGGCCGTCAAACCAAGATTCGAGGAAGACTTTGCCTTTAAAAATCACACACGGAGGGAGGGCCCACCCCGAAGCATTCGTACACTCAATAACAGTCACCCATTCACGATTTCCAGGCTGTAAAAGCGAGCGCCGACCAGGGAGACCACTCCTCGTGACCACCTTCGCTGTAGCGATTAACCCCATCGCGAAACCAGTCTCGTCGAAGTTATAAACGTCATCGGGGTCGATTCCAAATTGAAGGATTGTTTTTTGAACAAGATCGAACCACCCTTGAATGATTTTTGGGTCTTCACATTTCGCACGTTCATAATTATAACGTCTCGAGAATTGGGAGGAGAGGAGAGGGTGTCGTTTCACGAAGTTATAAACCCATTTTTCGCCGACCGAAATAACCGGGGTGGTTCCACGTTGTTGAAGTAAAAGATTTGCCATTTCTCGTACAGTAGAAGGCCGGGGGGCAGATCCACGAGAATCCATAGAAAGAATCCATTTTTGAAGAGATTCCTCCTCGGTTTCTGTCAATTTCTGCGAATTTACGCGAGAATTCGCGCGGTTTCTGACACCATTAAGGCGCGTAGTAAGGGTGGAACGGGGTACGTTAAATAGCCGGGCCACTTCACGAATTGATGAAATTTCTTGCTTTTGAAAAGCCTGAATAGCTAATAAGATCCTACCCTCTTGCTCTGCTGAATTGCTAGAGGATCGGGAGCGAATTGGTGGCATGGTGGGTGGTTGAATTAATTAATTGCTAATTCACGGACAATTTTAGGTGAGGTGGCCAGCTGGCTTACATGGCCAGCTCGCTTACCGAATACGTTAGGAAGTAGGTGAAAGCCCCCTTATAGTCGCCCGACTCTGCGTGAGAAGGGTGAGATGCTGCTTACAACCCCCATTATACATGGTATAGGGTTGCCGAACCCGTGGAGATCGAGATCCTCGCGTCTTCTGCTAACGACCGAAATTCTCACGGTTGGAAACCTGAACCTCCTAGAGCCGGTACTCCCTCTGAATGAAAAATGCGGATCTATCCTCAGTCGGGCCAGTGAAGCTAGGAAGAGAACTGATGCTCAGGATATTATGTTCCTTCTTGGGTACTGCGCTGAAACCCCGATCACCTTCCAAACTCTTCCGAGGTTCCAAACGTGAGCAAAGACTTCGTTAAACCTTTTATCCGAAAGCGCAGTGGCCAGCATTCTTGGATTTGAGCTGGCTATGACCTGCAGAATCGTTTGTTGTACCTGATTCAGGTTTGAAATTCCAATACCCATACTAACAACTTATAGGCTGTTTCACAGGGAATTAGAGCTCTCTGACACGTCAGTTCCTGTGCTTTGATTTTAAAAGCCTTAGCTTACTAGGATGGACGTAATTCTTCCTCTTTTGGCTTTTCCTGCTACAATATGGCTCTTCATTTTATCTATTCTTCAATCCGTCTTAGTCATAGAAGTGCCACTAGAAATGATAATAATAACACAGAGTAGTCATGTCAGGCTTATCACTCTACGATGGAAAATATAGGTTGGACTGTAGGACGCCCCAAACATCCGCTAACAGAACACTCATACCAGTGACAACTTCTACTCTGCTCAAATCTCATTGGCGGAGTGATGTCAAGTGTTACCGGACCACCAAGTCCCCTACGTCATCTGGTTTGAAGATGCTCTTCACTATTATGGTGTTCCCACATTCAAGTTCAATCTCTATCTGCTTGTCTCGAACCTTGACAAGGCAGCTGAATTGCTCATTAAGGCTGGATGGGTTATTGATTCGCAAGGTCCACGCAAAACCAGGAATGCGAAGGTGGAGCTCCTACAAAAGCCTCTTGTTGCACCAACCAGCCAGACAATAATTGTTCTTCTTCCCGCTGAAGAGTGGAAGTTTCCTCTGATACCCGACCCGCCTTCTGACGATACGCCGTTGGTAGCGGTGTCATTAGACGAGAACCGTCATATTCCACCACTACCGGGCTTCCTTGATGCACTGGTTGAGAGCTGGCTAGACTGGCCCAGTGACGATGCTATGTTACTGCTTCACTTGGCCTGCTAAATCTCCTATCTTTACGAATATGTAACCGCCCTAAAACAGCCATCATTTGCTGAACAGATGAAATATGAACACCGCCAGTTCCAATTTAATTCGTTGGCAGGAATGGAGGCGGGTACTGTCCAATTCAGAAGGCACCAACGTGCTATTCGAGATGCATTATCAAAGGGCCAGTATGAACTACAAGAATGTATGGCGTCTCGTGATAATGAAGACCTGTTCGATACAGGGAGGGCGGGATTATTATAACCTTATGAATAGTAGTCAGAAATATTTTACTATAGGTGCCTTTTTCATTATCTATTCCAAAACAATAAACTTTGATTATCGTGGAGATTCAGGTTTGGCAAATGAATGAGAACACGGTGGGTATATAGTCGATCGTATCCAACTAGAATCATAACCTACATGTCTATAATATGCCATCAAATAGAGAAAAACAATATAGCCTCGAGCAAGACCAGCACAGTAGGCTTGTTATTTCTAACGCAACATTTACTGACTTAAATTACAAAATATAGTAGAAGTCTTCGGGCGGATCATATTGTGTTTTTGGTGACCAAATCTATGAAAATAAAAACAAGTCTGAGAACGGCCAAAACGACACACCATCTCGTTTTAGAACTCACCCAGCCTTTATAAGGGATCGGGGTTGAGATATAAAAGAACGACAATAATACAGGGTGGGAAGGAAGAACGAGGGTATCATGGAAGCGAACAACTCCAATGGGCCACACCGGAAGATAAAAGGAATGAAAGGAAAGAAGAAGAAGAAGAGAGTTCTTCCCAAACAGAGCGAGAAAAATGGAATACAGGCCACAGCCAAAATAAAAACAGAAAGCAAGAGAAGGTGGGCCAGAACAAGCAAACCAAAGGGCGCGTATACCAGTCATTAGAGATTAGATATCGTCGAAGATGGAATCGATTTTTGAAGGAAAGACAACGGTAGCCATCGTAGGCCACAGGTCTTGCCTTGTAGAAAAGGGTGATTGGAGAAAGAGAAAAGAAAGAAGGGAATTAAAAAGAATTTGAACTGAAACGTGAAACGTGAAACATGGGTCTCCGTTCAATCAACTGACTCAAATAAAGCTCAAATGAAGCCAGTTCAGATGTGCGGCATGATCAATTGTGCAGACGGAATGCCTTCCGAAGAAGAGGAAATCGTTTCTTTCGTCCAGAACCAGCGATCACGACGTCGCGCGCCGAAGGCCCATGATCATCGGGGTTCGTGTATTCAGAAGTGCTCTCATTGTTCAGATCTGGTTCGTTGCGGGGTACTTCGGGCTCCTTCGCAATCGGAGATGCACTGTGAGCGCCATTCCCATTGACAAAGGCGCTCTCATTGTGTGCTGCGCCTGCACCCTCTGTTGGTGGCACGGGCTCCTGCATTTGAAGAAGAGGCGACGGGGCGCTGTTTGGCTGTTCCGCGACTGGCTGTGGAGGCTCTTCTTCCTTCGCAACGGGGTGGAGCGGCCAAGGGTTTGGTCCTGTCGATTGGCGTTTAGAGTTTCTCTTCACCAGCCTGGATGGGCGAGTCGGCTCGGGATTCCCAGCAGACACTGTGGTTGTGGTGATGCCGCGGTTTCCATTTACCATGCTCTCGCTGCGTAATTGATCGCGTTCCAGAGGCGACCGATCTAGGGGGATATCTCTCCGCGAGGGTCCTTCGACGTCAGCTTCGCGAGCTCTATTATCCGAGTTCTTGGGTTTCTTGATGCCTAGCCGGGTGAGAAGTCCTTGCTTCCGACCACGGGGAGGCGCCATGATGAACTCCTCCAAGTCTCTCTGCGACATGCCACGTTGTTTGGCCACGGCTGCCATTCCAGACATACTTGGTGCGTTCTTTCCGTAGGATCCGGGTGAAGTGGTCATCGGCTGGGATGCAAGCACTGGCTGTGCTTGCTGCCGGGCGCTCTCTTCCGAACTATCCTCCAACTCTGTCGAGTCACCGTCGTCGGCACCTTGGCGACGGGGGATGCCGCGGACAGGGCGTAACTTGTTGCTTACAGGCTCTTCGTCGCTGGAATCTGCAAATCGACTAGTGAAGACCTGGGGTCGGGGTTCGTCCTCGCCATCTGAATTTGCGAACCGAGTTGTACGCGCCGATCTAGGGGGCGCCTTGGTAAACTTCGTTCTTGGCGGTGCCTTTTTGTTCGTCGAAAAGAACGAATATCGCTCACCTCCTGCGGGTCCTCGGAGAGTCTTACGCATTGTCCCATTCGAGGAGCCAGATGAAAGAGGATGATGTCCAAGGGGAGATTCGTTGCGTTCCATTGGAGCTTGCACTCGGTCGTTAGTACCAGCAGCACCGGCTCTCATCGTTCGTCGCAAGGAGTGGGGATCTCCACGCGGAGAAGAGCGCTTGAAGCTGCTTGCAGAATCACTTCCATTCGACATTTGCCGGCGAAGACTGCCAGGAACACCTGGCTGGCCTCCTATATTGTGATAAACTGGACCAAGAGACAATGGACGCGGTTTGGTCTTGCCACCTCGTACAGAATCATCGTTGCGCGACCACCGAGGGTCACGCATACGAGACGTGCCATTCACATCCACCGACATGGGACGGGTTCGCGCGGTGGGCTGTGCTTGGATGCTGCCATTCTGAGGAGTCGCGTCGCGAGTTTGCAGCGGGACTGGCACTGGTGGGTGTGCAGAACTAAGTCCATGGCCAACCGAAGAGGCAGGGGATTCCTCTACCATGCGGTTGACCAAGTCTTGAGTCGGTGTCATGCAGCGCGAATCTTCAAGTGGTTGATCAGTCACATCTTGTGACTGACTATCCACGATGGCGGCTCTATCAATAGGCCTCGGCGTTGCGTCCCGCGATTCGCTCGCAGTCTCCTCAATAGGTGCCGATCTAGGGGCTGACCGATGATCAACAATAGCATTGATGGATCCAAACCCATCACCGTCAATGTCTTCCGCTGCGTCGCTGTAGATGCTATCACCAGATGACTCTTCTGCCTCCAAGTCATCCAGCTTTGGAACAGCGCTCGCCATGGCCTGGGTGCTAGTCTTCGCAGTCTCGGTTCGACTGCGGTCTGAGCTGGAGGGCGGGGATCCTCCCGGAATCATATATTGGTCTATGCTAGCTCTCTTCATGTCGAAACTTTGCTTGGTTTCGTCTGCTGGGGGCGTAGCAGGCTCGACAGCAATAGCAGGCACATATAGTTCTGAGCCCACGCTGGAAAATGGCTGTTTCTCAGTGACGTCGTTGGTGAATCCGGCCGCCCGTTTAGCCCCTGGGCTGGTATCTGAATGTAAAGTATGCAAAGTGCCATTGACAGACAATTGCTCCAGAGCGCTCAAATCGCCTGAGTGGAAGTGTTCATCTTGACGCGTCTTAGGGGGCAAACCTTCGACAGCGTGGTCACCCGACAGCGATATACCCGGCCTTGGCACCACATCAGATTCAGTCGAAGAGCTGGACTCATTATCACTGAACTGCGGGATTGGCGACCTCTTAAGAGCGCCGCCTCGGCTCCCTCGAATGCTACCGAAAGATGGAAGGACTTGTCGGGGTTTCATGACTACATCCCAGTCATCGTCGCTCGCAAACTCCGCGGGCGACTTCTTCTTGCCAACACCAAGCCAACTCATACGAGACTTGCCTTTATCGCCGGGTGGTGAATCAGGCATATATTCTTCCGGCGAGGTAGGAGGGCTGGCTGCTGCATTGACAACCTCAGCCTCATCATCAAAACTGACCTTGACGGACTTCTTCTTGGTATCAACCCGGGATCCTTCGTCTGAAGCCACCGAGGTACCATCTGATAACTCGCTCGGTGGTAGAACTCGACCGGTTGCCTCAAGCTTCCTATTAGGCGATAAAGAGGTCCCTCTTGGGTGTTTCAAGGCCGATTTGACAGGAGATACTGATCTGGGCGGAGGCTGGTGAACTTGATCACCGGCTCCAGCCACGGAGAGCAGCCTGGAGAAACGAGCAGTTCGACCTGGGCTGCTCGACTGACGGTGTGGCTGCCGCCCTATTTGCAGTTCCGTCGAGGGCGACGATGGCACTGGCATTGCCTCTACGTGATCAGCAGTTGGTGATGCGCTCGTCACTCGATCTCTCCCTTGCCGCATGGGGATATCTTCCACATTCGTGCCGACATCTTGGGGCTCTACTTCTTCTCGAACGGTGGATGGCCACTGCGCAGGAAGAGATCGGGAGGATGGGTGTTCACTTTCCACGTTGGTCACAACAGGCACTGCGTTACCGGTATATTGGTCTAGAGGATCGGCCTCTATAAGCGAATTTTGCACGTTTCCAGTCCGACCATTCGCACTCGGGATGTCCTTTGAAATGCCACTCGCTTGGGCTGCAGTGACTGCGGTGCCGGTCAAAGGACCAGATTTGTTCACAATGGGGATTTCCTCTAGACTGCCAGAGGGCTGTGCCCTAGGCTTCCCCATTGGCTGTTTGTCAGATACCTCAGCAATCGATTCTTGAATAGCATCGTGGAGGCTCATCGGATTATTCTCAAACATCGCGATCGGCGAGGTAGGCCGCGAGCCCAGAGGGTACGAGAAATTCACTGAATTTCGACTCGCTGATCGTTCCAATTCTGGAACAGTCCCGAGACTAGTCACACGTTGATGCGTAGCTAGCTGAATGGGGGACCCTCGCCCATATTCCCGATCCATGCCCCTCGCTCCAGCGCGCGGCGGAGACGATGGAGGCGAACGCATCGACGGCCCCATACTCAGCGCACGTCGGCTCGGCAGCTTCCGCGGCGTAAACTGGGTCGGGAGAGTAGGTAACGGTGGCACATCGACGGGTACAGGGGCGGGCCTGACGGGCCCGGAGCTTGTAGCCGGGCGATTAGGGGACTGGTCGCGAAAGGTGCGTGCGCTCATCGAACTATTGCTACTGGAGCGGCGCAGCGTCCCACCCACGCTGGCCGAGCGGCGACCGCCAAGGGGGTTAATCTGCGACTGGGTCGAGTTGCGCCGCTGGACCATGCGTTTTGTCTGAACATTTTCGATGGGGATCGGGGTGGATGTGGATTTGCGGAGCGCTGCTGCTGCTGCCGCTGCGGACAAGCTGGCTGTGGAGGGTTGGGATTTTAGGAAAGCATGGCTGGCGGCGGACTGCGCGGACTGCGCGGCGGGTGAGGAGAGTGGCTAGTAGGAAGGGGACCTATCAGTTTCATTTTCATGCATAGGTTGCAGCTACCCGTTGGATTGCATCAAGTCCTGCAGGACTCATTTGCAGATAGGGAAGCCTGCTATCCTTGGTATTCTACGCATGGAACATACCTGGTGATGGACAGAAGCACTTCTCTTGCGACGGCCGAAGACCATTGTTCAGAGTCTCGGACCTTTTAGGGACTAGAACGGGCCAAAGACGGGATGGCCGGACACTGCTTGGTGCAGCGCCGGGATCCGAGATTGAAGTGGATGAAGGGAATGTGGATCTCCTGATGATGCGATGGGTAGCTATAAGAAGATGTGGGACCTGGGAAGCTGAGAAGCCGAGGGAGAACAACTCGGGAGGATCGACCAAGTTAAGAGTCAGAAACAATGATATACGAAGCGAGAGAGGTAGAGCTTTCGAAAAGCAAGGAGAAAGGAAAAAAAAGATTAAAGCAGGTCTAGGCAGATCCAGGCAGATCCGAGATCGAGACGAACGTCATGACTTTTGATTTCAGGCACACAACTTGGTTTACCGCCTTGGGCTTTTTTATGCATTGTTTATATTGTGTTCACAGGTATTGCCTCGGTATATATTATGTAGATTTCTTTACTTTTTCCCATATACCCCATATACCCCATATATCCCATATATCCCATATATCCCATATATCCCATATATACTATTTTACGTATCACATTTAGATTGCAACCTCAACAATGACCCTTCCACCCCTCCCACTCCCCGCAGGCATAACAAGCCGCAACATCCAAACCAACGATCTAAGCATTCACATACTAGAAGCCGGCCAAACCCCAGCAAACGACAAACCATTGATAATTCTTCTCCACGGCTTTCCAGAAATCGCCTACTCGTGGCGCCGGGTGCTCCCAAAACTAGCAGCAGCAGGCTTCTACGTCGTAGCCCCAGACCAACGCGGCTTCGGCCGCACCACAGGCTGGGACACAGGCAGCTATGAGACCGTTGATTTGGCAACCTTCTCTCTGTCCAGCCTGGTGCGGGATATTGTGCTCCTCGTATACGCCTTGGGCTACCGCTCCGTGCGGTGCGTCGCAGGTCATGACTGCGGCGCTGTATCGGCAGCCATGTGCGCCCTAATGCGGCCAGATTTCTTCCAGAGCGTGGCGCTCATGAGCCATCCGTTTAATGGGGCCCCAGATTTACCGTTTGATACGGCGAATGCGGATGCCGCGGCGGGTGGGTCTGATACGGCAATGGCCGGTGCTGCTGGCGGTGCTGAGGGGTCGGCTGCTGCGACAGGTATCCATGAGGCGCTTGCGGAGCTCGGGCACAAGCATTATAAGTGGTATTACTCGACTAAGGAGGCTGGGCCTGAGATGTCAGATCTAGGACCCGAAGAGATGCATCGCTTCTTGCGGGGATACTTCCATCTGAAGAGTGGTTCGTGGCCGGGAAACCGGCCACATCCGCTTGGGAAGTGGTCTGCGGCCGACTTGGCTCAACTACCTGGGTATTATATCATGCCATTGAATGAGTCCATGCCTGCGACGGTGGCGCGCGATATGGCGCATGAGCCGTCCGACAGTCTGGCCTCACACTCGTGGCTGCCGGATGAGGAGCTTGCTGTTTACGCGGGCGAGTATAGCCGCACGGGCTTCCAGGGTGGATTAAACTGGTATCGTGTTCGCACTGCTGCTGGGGGCCGGTATACAAAAGACTTTGATGTCTTTGCTGGGAAGAAGCTCGAGCCGCCTTGTGCTTTTGTCTCGGGCAAGCTGGACTGGGGTAACTATCAGGAGCCTGGTGCCATCGAAAAGATGACGAACGGGGTTTCGTGCGCTGATCTGCGTATCGTTCGGTTTGTGGATGGGGCTGGACACTGGACGCCCCAAGAAAGTCCAGAGGAGGTGGCATGGGCGATTCTGGATCTGATCGGAGGTCTGCGCGACTAGGTTATTATAATTGATGCTACTATACATAATTATATATCGGTTAATGCCTGGCACTCAAGACTTTTCCCCTTCCGTATTAGTGCTCACCTCTGGCCGCTTTTTGATCACTAAAGCTGAGCACGTTTCCGAGTACTTATAGAAGTCGAATCCAAAACCCATATCGGTTTTGGGTCCAGGCCTTGGACCTAATTGGGGTTTGGAGAAGCCTAGTGATACTATTAAAGGATGGCGTCAAACACAAACAGTACGTGACATGACTTGTCTCCGTTTCGTCAACATTACCATAATGTTTAGCTGTTTTCTCTAAAAAAGCTAATATAGAAAATGAGACAGAAATTTTGGGATCGACCTCCGTACATCATCATTATCTTCCCCTAGCCTAGTACTTACAGAGATAGCTCAGAATTAGTAGATGCATTCGGGGAAATTTACTTCATTTTAAGATTAATAGGTCACATTCAATTTAAAACAATTTCCATTAGCAAATGAACAACCATAAGAGCTTAAAGCAAAAAAAAAAAAACCCCCCACTCAAAGAATAGCAGGATCCTCTCTTGGAAGAGACAAGTGTAGCCAGTATAATCCGACAACAGTCCTCTAGGGCTTCGCCGTCGACTTGTATCTCGCGCAGGAACTCAAGGCTGACCGACAGGGAGAAGGTAGCGCCCACTCGATGGGACCGAAGAAGCCCACAAATACAGCCAAGAGGCAAAGTCAATCTACGGGATCCATTTATGTATAGTGATGACAATCAAGAGACAGCAAACCAGGAGGATAGGAAGATGAGCAGATAAGACTAGAATCACGGTGTTATTCACGAAGGATGACCATAGGCAGAGCGCTTCAAACCACATGAAGACAGACAGGTTAATGGATCATATTATTGACGGTTGGAGTAAATCATCCATGGCTCTGAGGAACCAGTCACTGTCTCGGGTAGACTTGGTAAAATCATAGCCCATGTCGATGCGATTTACTCTTTGCGTGAATACGTTTCCGGCAATGAATACAGATGGAAGCAAGGAAATCATGGGAGACGTAGAGAGATGAAACCATTAAGTCGACCCTTCATCGTGTCCATAAGATTCGGGACATTTAATGCAAGTCCGACAGTCTGTAAGTTGTGATCGTATTCGGCGAACATAAGGCCACAACGGCCCCGGTCGAATCCACGACAAATGAGCCAGAGTCACCAGACTCAATAAAGCGATCTTGGACACCTATAATCATAAACTCCTCCGTACAAAGATCTTTGCCACCGGCGCTATTACCATATATATCGTATTGTGTCGCCCATTTGCAAACAGACAGCACACCGTTGCACACTCCACCTGTTACGTCAGTGGTGCGCCCTTGTTTGACATAGTACGTATCTTCCTGTAATGAGCTAAATTTGTCGAGGTGGGTTCCTGCTGCGACTAGAGTCGGAGATTGACCGAAGAAGCTGCTTTGAGGCATCTGGTTCCTTGGGACCTCGGGCATTCGGTTGGCCCTAAAAAAGCGCTCCTCGGCCTCCGGAGTCAGCTCGACGAAAGCCCAATCAATAACGCGTCCACCATGCACTAAGAGGCCTGACGCAGAATGGATATCACCTAGGACGTGTGGCATCTCTTGGATGACTGGGCGTGTTGCAATCAGAGTTCTCTCCCAGGTTTCCATGGCTTCAAGCTGCCGTTGGGAGGATGTGCGAGGTGCCTCGCCCATTAGCTGCCGTTTCCGGATTGAGTCTACGACTTGAGCCTTCTGTGTGTCCAGGGCTCGTAGCTGGAGCTCAACATCGTTCAGGGTATAGTAACGGTCCATCCTGGCTAGAGATTCAACGGTGATTTTCCCCTGGAAGGGGACAGGCGAGAGAGGAGATATGCCCTTCCGATTGATTGTATCAAGGTGAGCATATGGAGGGGAGGGGCGCACAACATGGTAATTGGTCAGGAGGCCACGGTGCGTTTCACCGTCATGTGTAACCTCGACAAAGCCTCCTAAGGTACCAGGGTTATTATCTCCTCGAATGCCGATCGAATATCCCATCTGAATGTCCCTATGGCCTTTGACACGATCTTTGAATGAGACGGGATCACCCTCCCCAAGGAGGTTGAGTTTCCCAGGGAGGAACTCGATGTCTGTAAAAACAGGAGGGATGTGTGGCGTAAGCCGATGCGTCAGGTGGGCTTGGAGCTGATACCAGTTTGCATTTGTTGAGGGTAGAACACCAACAACAAGGGCTGGCCGCGCGGAACGGGAATCCCTGCCAATGTTGTATGGACAAACCAGTTGCCATTTGGCTCCAAGAGTCTCGCCCGAGAAGCCGGACGACCTCATCCTTGAGATGGTGAAACGCAATGGCAAGCTCGGCTTTTGAGTCGATCGAGAACAAAGTAGGGACATAAAAGTGGCCCCCGTTGATCACCTCGACCTGGATCTGTGAAAGGGCATGGCTGCTTAGAAAGGTAATGAGATCGTCTTTGATGGACCCTAGGGGTACTAGAGCCGAATGATCACCCGAAACAACGACACGAAGCAGAGGAAAGCTGGCACCGTGGATGGTTGCATTCACCATATGAAAAAGTGACTTCGCTGGCAGACCATGCTGGTCGAGGGTGTTGAAGATGTCACGGTGCAAATGCTGCGTAGGATCTTCCTCAGCGGCCATGGTGGCGATGTTAAGGGCTGTCGGATCGGGGTCTGGGAAGCTAGTTTTTCGAAATGGGTCTGTGCGATGGACGTATTGTTCGATTTCCATATCCCCCTCGTTATCCTTCGACTCCCGGAGGAGGCGGCGCCGCTTACGCGGACTTGGAGGTCCGCGAGAGAGGGGAGGACTTGGAAATGCCTCCGCCATTTTTCTTGCGAGCTGGGTAGCGAAATACGGAGAAAAGCATATTGAGGAGGGAGCTATATGGAGCTACGTCTATCCATGCATTACTTGGATCACATCCGATCTAGATATGGTGATCTTAGATTCTGCCATTTCTGGACGCTGGGAGAATGGTCAAGGTACACACACAATGATTTACTGGTAGACAGCAATTTTAATCGGCCAGAGAAAGATAAATTAACTTGAATGCTAGCTTATATGAGCATTGGCGATCAATAATTGGTGAACACACCTATTAGATCTCAACCTGAGAGTGGAAACATCCGGCCTTCTTGGAGTGAGCATGCGCCCGGGGTGCTCTTTTCTTGACCTCGGTAGATGCTACACGCTTGGGGAACCCACGAAGGCTGTTGGCGTATTTAGCGACAGAGAAAGCCGTAGCCTTCGCATTAATCAGGAATGCCTCCTCGTTGAGGTTCGTCATGTTATCACCAGCGGCATGGTAATTCACATCGTAGGCTACACCTGCTTGGCCTCCGAACAGCTTTGCTTCTTCTTCGGTCATGATGCCTTCAGCACCAGTGAAAAGCCCACCGGCAGGAATTCCACGAGAAATGAAACCGTCGTAGTCGGATCGGCCATCGAACTCAGTGGCAATAGTCGGTAGCTTCTTGGATTTGAAATAGTCCTCAAACATGTGCTCGATCTCGGCAGAACCTGAAGGTCCGGTCTCGTTGAAGGAGCTTCCATCACCATCATAGACCATGAGGGCGTAGTTGGGCGAGGCAATCATATCGAAGTTGAGGTAAAGTCTGATCTTTAGGAGTTCTTCATCGGAAAGGTGTGAGGTGTAGTACTCGCTACCCAACAGGCCAAACTCCTCTCCTGTCCAGAAGCAGAATCTCACGGCATTCTTGACAGAGTAGCGCGTCAACGCTTTTGCGACGACGAGGTTGCTGATGATTCCAGAGCCATCATCGTTGATACCTGGGCCGGCATCGACTGAGTCGGTGTGACCTCCCAATGAGACGACGTTGTTGTGATCACCGCCCTTTGTCTCTGCAATCACGTTGAATGTGGTGCGATTCTCAGCTTTGCTGTCGAGCTTATAATCCACAGTCACGGGGCCCTTCGCTGCCGCATCGATCAGGGTCTTGCCGTCGACATCAGAGATTCCTGCAATGGCGGCATAAGGGCCAAGGTCACTGGTTACTCCACCCAGAGTTCCGCTAACAGGGCCTGCTTCGTTGTTGTAGATAAGCACTGCAGCTGCCTTGGCTGCAGCACCCATCACCGACTTTTCTGCGAAGGTACATTCTCCGCGTTGCACCAGGGCGATTTTACCAGAAACATCAGCCGGGTAGTCCTCTGCAGCACATCCAAGGTTGGCGACCACTGCTAGCTCCGCAGTAACATCAGCGCTGGGACTGTACGTCATGGCAGTCGCTTCGATAGCCTCGCCGTCAACTGTCAGCGAGGTCTTCGCAGTAGTCCAAGTGTGCACCTGTCGCTGCTTGTACACATTATAGTAGCCAGTCTTCTTCAACTCGCGATAGAGGTAGTCCACAGTGGCGTTGTGTGCTGCACTGCCAAAGACACGATTGCCCTCGGGATGCGCATAAGCGAGATCCTCAAGATGTTGAGCCCCCTTCAGGAGGTCTTTCAGTCGAATATCAGAAGGGAATTCATCCTAACAAGTCAGCCTACCTAGTCACGACTCCCGAGATATATCATGTGTACATACCGGGTCAACTAGGTGCTTCCTCCGGCCAGCTCCAGCCAAGGCCACGGACAGGTGGGTAATCAACAAAAACCACTTCATCGTTAAGTAATGCGCGAATCGATACTATTCCGAGTCAGGGGCAGGCCGTTTTTATAGCTGTTCTGAGGGATTGACCGTGACCACATGAATCACGCGATTGTAAAGTACAAAGGTGCATGATTGGCAGGGCCCCAAGGGGTATGCCAAGAAACTGGCTTGCTGCACTTGGCGGAGGGGAAGCCATTTCATAAGGCCGGCTAGTCTCCTACAGGCGGAGCCCCGACGGTACTTATCAACATGAGGGCTTAGGTTACAGTGCCAAGTGATAACAGCCGGGGGTTGCGGGTGCGGGGGTGGTTGCGCTTATTGTGCCTTCGAATTGTTATCGAGCAGCATCAAGGTCCCTGAATAATAATTACTTAATCCGTACGGAGTCCTCCGTAGCGCTTATTAGGCGTCCTTGGCAATGCTCCTCTTAATCATATTGTCCATTTCAGATTGGGGCGTTCCAATTTAGATAGAACTCCAACTCCGTAGTATCACGATAAATGTCATGGAAAGGACTTTTCCCCTCATCATAGATGAAATAATACGCCTCCTTTCTAAGCCACTAGCCTCGTCCAATCTCAAGCTTCGTATATCGCGATCCAATCGTAACATTTGGCCTTACAGCGGCATTTCGGTCTCCCCACAGCCTGTTCTTACATATAGTTTTGCGCATATTCTCTAACATACCGTGCCAATCTCCACCGTATATAAGAAGCTTAATGCTAAGCTTAACAGAGGGAAGGGAATGGATTTTGGTAGTGCGAGGAGGAGATGATATCAAAGTGTGTGATTAGGAAGCGGGACAGTTCGAAGTGGCGCAGCCTCGGTAATTTCTCCAATTGCACGATACTATATAGTGGAATCAGAAGATCTAGTGCTCCGCCTGTATCGTAGCTGTTCTTATTCTATCAAGGATTCAGTGACTAACGTATATAGCCTAAAATCTTCCATATCTTTTGCCTCGCCGAGTGCACGGCGTAGTCGTCCAAATAGGAAATACATCTAGTATCGGTCGAAGCTACCGTTATCGCCTTCTCCACTAAAGAGTATGACAATGCCAAGGCGGCGGAAGCCTAGGCTTGTCAGGACTGCGGCAGAATTGCCGTTCTCTTCGCAATAATGGTCGAAGCTCGTACAGTTTATCCCAGTCGGGAGGTGATTGGATGTCATAACCGGGCTGGGAACGGGATTCGCCTCGAGTCCGCGTTGCCGTTCTCCAAGCTCGGGGTATTCAGTCCACTCATACCCAGTCGCATGATTATTTGCTGTGGTGGAGAAGAACCATACCGCGGAATGAAATAATTAATTCCCTTCAGGAAAGCGCGGATCATAGGGGTCTGGTACAGCGGAACATAAAGATGACCATGGGATCCGAGTGTCATAGTGACTCTCTTCAGAGCAGGAAACTGCTTGACGCCGTATAAGAATGCGTGCAGATCACTATTACCGGCGATCTTCTCTGCTGACGCAGTAAGCGCTGATGGTGTTGGCAGATTGGCTTCCTATGCGCGTCCATCGGTTGGAGGGTGTATAGGCAGTGGCCGCGACACGAAATTCCGTCCCTGGGCCAGATAGAGTAGAGTTTGGTCCGCCTAGGGGATGAGGGATTAATATGTGCCCTTAATTGGTAAGGGATGAAGCAAGTACACCCCATCCCATGAGCTCGCTGCATTTTTCGGGTGTTGGGATAGGTCCAAGCCTTCATTTTCGATATTGTTGTTCCCATCTGGCTATGTCTGCTCAATTTATGTTTACTTGTCAATCTTCCCATCAGATCACGTCATTTCGATATATTCATAAGCCACACTCACGTCATCCGGTTCTTCGGTTGGTCAGTATCCCGCTCCTCGGTTCCCTTGTTTGAGATTTATGGCAATAGTTGCCGTTGGAAGGGAAGATATATAGTCACTCAGTGAGATGGTTGAGGAGAGACAACGACACTGTGGGTCTTGACGTCGAGCGAAAACTTGAAGATGGTTTGATCTTGAGTGAGTGCAATGTTGGTTTGAGTGGCAGGTCAAATCTGAGTAATGTGTGGGACTTCCCGTGGGATCCCAGATATGTGGAGCTTCGGAGCATTTTACTCAAATTTAACTACCGGATCAATCGATATGTGCTAGATTCTGCCTCCCCTAGGTGGACTCTGGGCCTGCGAAGGAAGGATGGGGCACGTTGATTCTCCCGCAAGAGCTATTCAGCAGTTTCAAATTCTTTCCGGTGAATGAATAGATCTCGCTCATTTACTAGAGCTAAATGACATGGTAAAACAACTGTCAGATATCGAAGCGAAGCTATGATATATTTGGGTTTGCTGGAGTCCGCTTCTCATTCGGGGAGGGAGGGAAATCAAACCAAAAAGTTAAAGCAACCGCGCTGTAAAATGCCATGACAGCAGAGTTTTAAACTGGTGGATCATACAAGACCATTAAAAGCCTGTGGGCGTTTACCTGGAGTGTACAAAAGCTGCTTGAGCAAGCAACCCCCGGTACCCCGGTAGATGATACGCCGTGGATCAACTACATAACAGTTTATTCTCAAGACAAGGCACAAAAAACAGGAAATGAAAGCCCGGGTCAGACGCCGGAGTTGTACAGGTAGCGACTTCCTTCTTCCACTCCCCTCTTTGGACGATGATATATGATCAATAGTCCTGTGTGGCTGTCAAATATGCACATCTCGAAAGATGTCTCTTCTATACAGACTGCATTAGTATGTTCTCTGATATTATCAAGGTAGCGCTAGACTATATCATATTCGCTGGATAAAGTATGGCCAGGTTCATATGACACGAATGACATGAAATTTAATAATTTCATACTGTTACGGTGGGGCTCAAGCATAACATCCTCAGGACCCAGGACAGAAAGCCAATGTCCAATACAAAGTACGGAATGCAAGGACCAAGGTGAGGTTTCTGCATAGTAGCATGTACTAGTTGAGTTTTGAGCATCACATCTATAGAAAAGTTGAGAAAACCATGGAAATAGCCGGACGTGCCCAAGGTCGGCGTGGAGACACCACGGGACCTACCATGGTTGTAAAATCTGTTTCCCGAGATCTGTGGCAACTATATTTGCACTTACCTCAACAACGTCGGTAAAAGAGAATAACAGATTTTTGAACATATTTGTATTAACTTGGAGGAACATCATGACTAAGAAGCGGCAAAAATGATCTTTGCCAAGCCAATAATTTATGCAAGATGGACTTCTACCCAACTTCAATATGAGGCAGAAAAGTAAAAAAGCGGAGTAGATTACTGTGGACCTTGGCCCAATTTTTGCATTATGAGCTAGTTACAAGGAAGTCAAGGCTAATTGAGTACAGATAAATCCATTCAAGTTTTCACCAGCACACAAAAAGTTGCATACATGAGATCGTCATACAAAAGAAAATTAAATCACACAAGCAAAAGGAAAAGAAAACAAATAACTATTCATCACACCATGGATGAGGGACAAACGTATCTAGACCCCCTCTAGGAGAAACCCAGAAAAAAAAAATTTACAGACGGGAGCCGTGGATGACCTTGTAGTCGACGACGAGCTCACGGCCACCGTCGTTGATGACGAGGGCACGGACGGAACCACGGCCGTCGGCGAAGGCATCACCGATGCGCTTGAAGAGGTTGCCCTGGGTGATGACGGAGATGCCCTGCTTGACATCACCGCTCTCGGTCATGGCGACGAGGCGGTTATCATCACGGAGGTCCAGGATGCGGTAGGTCTTGAAGACGGGGCCGAGCATAGTCTGGACAACCACGGAGGGAGAGGGGTTAGCGACGAAGCTAGACTCCTCCTGCAGCTTGCGGGTAAAGAGGTCGACACCAAGGTAACGGTGCTGGCCAGTCTGGGGGGAGACCGAGATGCGGATCACCTGGCAAGGGCGGCCCTGAAGGATCAGGATGTCGCCGACGCGGATGAAGTGGCAGGGGATGGGCACGGTCTCGCCGGAGGAGCCACGGTTGCGGGGCTCGACGATGCGGACGTTCTCACGGGGAGCAGCAACCTCACCGGCGTGAGACTCCTCATGCTCAGAGTGGGAGAAGGGGTGCATGACACGGTCGGCAGCACGCTCAACGCCGCGGCGGAAAGAGTGGTACTGGCCTTCGTCGTCGTAGTAACCCATTTTGCGAGTGGGGGCGGTGTCACGGGTAGTGGACTGAGAGACGTTTACTTGGGACGGAGTGGAGTAACGAGCACGGGGCTGAACTTCACGAAGGTAGACGTCGTCTGCCTTGTAGGAGTCGGTCTGGGGCTGGGAGATCCGGTCGTACGAGACGTCGACGGACTGGGATTGGTAACCGTAGGCGGAGTCTACGGGCTGACGATAACGACGGTCGTAAGAGACGTCGAGGTCGTAGGAAGGAGAGGTACGTTGACGGTAGTCTCTTTCAGTGAGGTCGAGTTGGTTCTCGACGACTTTATCGTAGACTTGAGTACGGTCCTCGTAGTCGACAGAAGGTTGTTGGTAACTGGGGTAGCTAAGAAAGGTCAGCCCACATGCACGGGTACCATAAACATATAAACAAAACAAGCCGGGTCACCGCTAATTGAAGTGGATCAGGTTTTGATGACACGTAATTTTAGTCCCCGACCAAATCCGTAACCAATCTAGACCGAGATAGGAGATCTCACAACAAATAATGCTAGTTCAGCTGCAGGTCTCCACTTTCACAAGTGGATCTCTGGAGGCTGGGGGGTAAAACAAAACAAAACAAAATGACCAATACCAGGAAAAACAATTACATACCGTTCACGAGTAAGCTCAACTTCAGGGGCGTAGTTGTGCGAGGACTGGTGCTGGGGCGAGTACGAAGATTGCGAGTACTGCTGCGGCTGCTGCGTGTACTGAGGGTGCTCTTCTTGAATGCGAGAACGCTCTTCTTGGACGCGAAACTCGACTTCTTCCTTTCCGTGAACAGGAGCGGGAAGGGGAGCAGAACTTCGAGTATCTTCCCGTTCGGCGCGCGAAGTACGATCGAAATTGACTTCTCCCTCTACTCTAGTCTGAGTAGTTTCAGAGACAGCGTCACTCCGGTACGACGACGGGAAGACACTGAAGGGGATTGGAACACGGGCGTCAAAGTCCAGATTGACGGACTTTTGAGCGTCTCTTCTCGAATGCCTTTCGAACTGTCGTTAAACAACTCGAAAGACTAAACAAGAAAAGACTTGAAAGGGAAGTCTTTCTCGAAGTGGGGGTGGAGGAGAAAAAAAGAAGATCTTTTTTCCTGCAGTAGATATATGATTGGAATGGAGGGGGAAAGATAAGCTCAAGAGATGAAGAATGCTAGATCGTAGGAATGGAAGAAGAAGAAGAAAGAGGGCAGCGCAGTTGGCGAGCATCACGTTTATTTATGCCAGATCTTTGTTTACGCCGCCTTGCCGGTTTAGGTTCTCCGCTGATCACCGAGGCTCACTCTTCTCCTTACTGTCTCTCTATGGTATTTGAATTGTCCTATCAGAGTTGTACAATATGTCTGACAATTGAATTCTCTTCTTCCTTCCTCCAGTCAATCAATCTAAACCCTCTAGGAATGCGTAACTCCATATTGATGGATACCCCGAACTGCAATACACATCGGGCCCTTTCACATGGGGGGCTGGCCAGCCTGCGCGTATTGTCACTACGCCACCGACTTGATCACTATGGCAACCTCCGGGTCGAATCGGACATCTGGATCCTCTTGGCGCCGATCGCGTTTGGCTCCATCACATCGGCACAATTGCATTGGGGTTGCGGAGACATGGTCACTGTAATTCCCTCGGCTTAAGAAGTACCCTTGTGCTTTTTATTCTGCCACTTGGTGTTTTCTAGCCAGCCATTGGCCCGTATCTAACACCATTGCCAACACGGCATCTTACAGCATACGGGACATTGATACCGATACCAATACCGCTCAATGCACTCCACTGGAAAGTGATTCATCAAGCTCCTTAGACCCTCTTTTGGGTCCCCAGCCCCGGCCCAACCACTGTGAGGCGCCAGCGCCAGCGCATGCAGCTCATGTCTAGACCCTCTTACCGCAAAAGAGGCTGGGAAATGTGTCTCAAATAACGGTAACTTTCGTACTTTTGTTTCCTCGTCTATAATGATGAAACATCTGAAGAGCATTACCAGACCCGTGTTTTGACTCGAATCACATCACCATTGGATCTCGTCCAATGGAGTGATCTTCAAATATTGATATGTGGCCCCTTTTCACGGGGCTCTCTGTATGGAGCACGAAGTACCATGGTACGAATCTTTCCCATGGGGGCGGGACCAATTGTCTACCCGTGGACGGAATCTAAGTGGACTTACAAATCCAGCTATGCTCACAGCCTTACAATTACGGAGTAGTGGATATAGAGTACATTGATATCCAAGGTTTTTCAGT